GTCTTTTTCTTTCGAGCTTCTACTCAAGTTTTCTAAAACATGTCTATTAGAGAGAGATGTCCACACGTTTACAAACAATGCTTCGTTCCTTTCTCCAACCGATGTGAGGTCTCACCGTCTCACAATTTTTCGTTCCCTTGTCCAACCAATGTGGGATCTCACACAATCTACCCCTTTTCGTGTCACAATGTTTCGTTCCCTTATCCAACCGATGTAGAATCTCACAATCCACCTCTTTTTGGGACTCAACGTACTCATTGACACACTACCCAATATCCACCCCCCTTCGAGGCTCAGCATGTCCTCATTGGCACACCGCCCAATATTCACTCCCTTCAAGGTTCAGCGTTCCCACTGGCACACCGTCTGGTGTTTAGCTTTATACCATTTGTAACTGCTGAAGTTCATTACTAGTAGATATTGTCCTTTTTGTAACTGCCCAATACCATTTGATACTGTCTAGTGTTTTTCTTCTCAAGTCGTCTTCTTTAATAAAAGATAAAGAGATTAGATATTCGGTATTCTATAAAACAAGTGGCATGATGAAGAAGCTACCCCTTTATAATTATTACAAGGAAGTGAAGAGGAATCCTTGTCTTCGTATTTACCTTCCCACTAAAGCAAGAGGCTAATCCTTGATTCTTGAAGACTAAAACCCACCAAATTGGCCACCAACTATATATATACTTTTAATTATTTTTATGAATCTGAATCTTTTACTTCCCCATTCATGATAGTGAGGAAGGAACAACTATTTATTCCACCTAATCTAGTAACTAATATTCTACCCACTTTTTTTTTTTCCTCTTAAAAATATAATAGAGATAATGGTTATTTATTTATGGAAAAATAATCCAAATTTGAGCTATATCAATTTAATCCTAAATTTTTAATTTCATGAAATTACAACAAAATTAGATAAATAACATTCCAAAAAAAAAATTGTAATATTTCATTCTAATAAGTCCTTCTAGATAAACTGTTATTGAATAATTAATTAATGATCAACTATTTTTTGGTTAAATTAGTGAAGAATCAAAAGTAAAAACTAAGAGAATTTAACAATTTTATAATGTAAAAAAAATAATATATATATATCTAATTATTTAATTAATTTCAAGCAACCTATAAATATTTTTTTTCCTTAATTTTTTTAAAAAAAAAGTCATACAAAAAATAGGTCAATATATATCTATATTAAATGGCTTACATTTCTAAAAAGAAATGAATTTAGTCGTAGACAATAAATATTCTATAAGTAATGATCAGAAAAATAGTCAATGTCAAAGGCCACATACGCATACACCGCCTTTATAAAAATTTATTTCTTTATTTTTTTAAGAGAAAAAATTAGTTAAGGTTCATCTAACCACTCATTATATATATATATATATATAAATCTGGTTTCTATCTATAAAATTTTAATGAATAGTTAGTGTCAAAGGCCAACCTATATACATTTGTAAAGGTATGATCAAAATTAGAAATACAAAAGAAAATTATATTAAAATGATTAAAAGTGTTTCAAAATAATTAATAAACAAAATTCTATATATATATATATATTTTGTTATTATTGTAATGTAGATTGTCTTATATATTATCTATGTAATCTTATAGCATCATGTCAGGACGCTCAAATAATTTCAATTTTTCTAAGTTTACAAGTAAAAAATATATGACCCTGTCTTGAATTCACCCCGTCTTTCAAGACAAACCTACTTGTAATGCTTATACTACTTCCACTAAATTTAATCTTTCAGGCATTAAACAAGCTAGCATCTTATTCTGAGTTGATAAAAAGGAACATCCATAAGCAAAATTATGACACTATAATGTTTACTTAACAAAAGAGGGAAGAAAATAGAATTAAGGTTCCATAAATTCAAGCATAAGGATGTAATTCATACTAAAATTAAGATAATCTACGACTAACTAAAACCTCATTCACAAATTCTAAAATTTTCTATGGGAGAATATCTAAGCAATTCTCTTTTCGCATGCAGTTAGATAGACAATTTTTTATGCCACTTACTAAAGACAGTTAGCTTAAGAATATACTTTAAGGAATGCAAAAAGTGGCCGACATACCTCCTTATACCCAACGAAAGCTTCCAACTCCATTGTCTACGACACAGCTATTGTCGTGTGTATATATATATATATATATATATAAAGTTGCCAGCCATCGGTATTCAAGTACTCCACCAAAATAAGAAATTAGTATAGACATAAACAGCCTGCAACTTAAAGAAAGTATGGTAATTTTCTACTGCTTTAAATCGACATTAAAAATCAAGAACATGGCAAAATGGATGAAGCAAACATACCTGAGAAAGAGTGTCAAGGAAAGTGACAAATAGATGGGATGGACATGGCATGGCATGGCATGGCGTGGCATATGAGCATAGAGCACATTGTGATAGCAAGGGAATAATAACAAAGACATCACTATTTTTCTCTTTTTGCATAATGGTACAGTATTATTAAGTGGGGCAACAACTTTATTTTAATTTCGTCCCAACTAAATTAATACTTCATTAAATTGAAAGTGTATTAAAAAGAACTGCTAAAAAATTAACTGACTAATAAATTGCACTAAACTTAACCAACAAAACACTCAAAATTAAGTTTAAGAAGTGATTGAAATCAAAAGAACTAGTGCACTTAATAATATACAAATAATAATAAATCTCACCTTAGTCACAGTAAGATTCATGGGTGGTCAAAATCCTTCAAAGTGAAAAAAAAAAAAAATTATACTCGTCATTTAAGTTTAGACTAGTTCAATGCAACCAAGTGACGTGACAAGAATAAGGTTGAAAATGAGTAAAGTACAACCATAAAACTTTTCCTTTTCATTTGTTTCCGCCCTCTAAAATTAACCAATGAAAGAAGCTATACATAGATAAGATAGAGAAAGAGAGAGGTTCATAGCATTCTAATAGATCTAGTAACGTAACCGATATGAATACCAATATGAATATAGTTTAGCTAGTCAAGCCATTAGTTATTTTTCGTCATGAGTTAAAATCTCCCTCCCACGGTTAAATTTTAAAGAAAAAAAACGTGTAATGTAATATAAACTTAGACTGTTATTGATTCATGAGGAAATGAATATAATATAATGCTGAAACATTATTTATCCTGAAACATCGGGCAGATGAAGTTAATAGTGCGGGTTATGGCCGCCTCAGCCCTATTGAAAAGAGGCAAACCTTCAGCGACAAGGAGTTAAAATATTTGATGATGTTTCTGTTTCTTGTCTACCCTTTGTGTTATTCAGACAATAAAAACAAGCACGCTTTGTTTTTCTGGACTTGGGGACTTGACACTCCTCTATAAGGATAATAATTAATAACAACCTGTTGCAATTTTTGTATATTATATCGGTAGACACTCAAATAGTTTGCTAAAATGATTATAAAAAGTTGTTTTCTTGAAAACTAAAGCCCACCAACTACATAGCCTTCGTTATATATTTTGTTTTCACTATATAATTATATACAATAAAATTGCAAACCATCTAACATGTCAATGGGTATTCTAGTTCTCTACCAATATCCAAAATTTCAGAAATATACAAAAACTTCCTCAAAGTCTAGAGTCATCACCTCCTACTCTTTTTATTATTATTATTATTCAAAAACCGTAAGTGAACCCTCCATCTTGCTTCCCAACGAAGATGAAAAGGCCGAGGGGAAAGAAAAATTCATCGCAGCCATTGCTGTGAAGAAGTGCCTTAAATACATCTTCAATCATCATGCAAAAATTCACTAGATTTTTAGATTTTTCTTAGAATTCATCTGACATTTCCCAAAAAAACAATCCAGCCTCTTTTTTGAATCCCAACTGGAACCAAAATGTTTTTTCTTAACACCTTCATGGGATAAACAAAAATCTGAATACCAACCAAGCTCGTTAGACATTTTATGAACTATAAAGAATCCTTTATCCCCTCTCAACTGTTTGGAGAATCTACCATTCTAAGGACTTTTCCAAGGCTGTGCAAAAGAATGCTCCAACAATTGCAAAAGATAATAATAATGAAAACTAAATCCATTGAATCTTGATGAAAAAAGTAATGAAGTACCACTCCTTTTTCCGTAACTATATATATATGTATGTATGTATGTATGTATGTCTAATGAATAAAATAAGAATAATAATAAAAAAGACTTAAACACTTGAAGAAAGTGATTATGAAATCCAAAAAGAACGAACCAACTTGAGAAAGATGAAACTAGAAGGTGATGCTCAACTCTAAAGCAAAATCCAATAGGAAGCAAACTGGATGAAGGCTAAGGGTCGGGGGTAGGAGAACAGAGGAGAGAGGGGAGAGCATTGGGAGGGGGGGTTAGGTTCACTCTTAGTTCTTCATCTACTAACATTCTCAATTGTACATATGCTGTCACGTAAAAAAATGGTCATTTTCCTTTTAATACTTTACTTTGACATCTAAAACTCTTTAACTTATTTTAACTTATTGACAACTGCATTGGACACAATTCTCTTTCTCATATGACAAAGCCTACAACATAACTAGGGTGTAATTGGTCCATCAAAATGCTCTCATTTGGAAGATTTTTAACCATTGAAGTATTGATATTATTAAATCTACTGCAATCTATCGACTTAGGTTTTTGGTTTATTGATGATTTAACATGATATCAGAGTCGTGTTGAGGTAGATTTAACTATATCAACACTTCAACAGCAACCACTCAAAAAGCACACAAGCAAAGGGGTCATGCAGAAAGTAGCAGCTAATACTCATCAACTAACCATCTCATATTTGGTAAGTGTAGGTAGCACCAAAATTTTGATAGATAAGTTGTAGGCTAAACATAACATAAGTGCTCTCGACAGAAGTGTGGAGTCCGTGAGAACTGTACATAAATTTAAGTATCGAACATAAAATTTACAATAATACAGGGTGGAGAAGAATTAACTTCATACCTGGTAATCCTTTAAGAACTTCCCAATCCTTCTCGAGTCCACTTTGTTCTCTTGAAAACTTAGCAATTCATGGACCATTGCCTAGAAAACATAATTTCAAATAACCGACAATAAATTCATGAGCAAAAATTCTCATAGGTCCATTAATTTGGTAGGAGAGACAAAGGATCATCCCTACTGTCAACTATCATCAAACAAATAATGAACAAAGGTACAGGATATGAATTATTTACGCCACTTCAAGAACTGAATTTATGAACGAGTTCACTGACAATTTTGAAGTAACGAAAATGTACCACTGAAACTTAAAATACATATTGTTGTTTCCTATGCCCTATCCTCATGCATTAAGCGTGGATGGCCTTCTCTCTATCAAAAATTTCACACGCACATACAAACCATGTATTAAGAGTTGAGGGCCCAATCATTTTCTCAATAAAAAGGCTCTCGTTATTTAAAAGATTTATGACTGCTTTAGAAAAAATTATGAACAAAGTTTTTTAATGCAGTTAGTCTGTTTAACATTCTATAAAATTTGTTCTAATCAATAATGATCATAACTGCATCAATACAGATTAAAGACCAGTGTAAACAAATACGAATTGCAATGGTCCTTGACTCACATAAGAATGGAACTAGATTAAAATCCTCAGTATTGTGCCACAAGAAAACGGCTATATGAATGCAGTATACATAATATATGGTAAACAGCATTTTGGTATAGTAAATATAATAATCTCGAATTACTCAGATCTTGTACTCATTTCTACAAACTGCTATGTGTTTGGAATGTTATCGTGCGTTTTCCATACCTTGAATAGTTATCTATCAATGTGGTCATGAAATAATCCAAGTCCACTGCTAGCAGATATTGTTCGTTTTGACCCGTTACATATTGGCCTCGGCCTTACGGTTTTAAAATATCTCTATTACGGAGAAGTTTCCCTTATAAGAAATATTTTGTTCCCCTCTCCAACTGACGTGCGATCTAATAGGTCATGTCTCCTGCAATAAAGACACGTTAAAAAAAATATCGATACTGTGATCTTCATCGTTGATTCAAGAGAATTTCAAATTGTAAGTCATGGAAACCTTTTGTTTGTATGTCCAGCTTACTTTCTATAGTTCGCTATATATCATCCACCAACTTCTTGACTATTCGTCAATATCTCCAAAATTCCAATACATCATACATGTAAGCTTTATCTATAATAATAAAAACATAATTACACATAATTATACCAGCTGTCCCTGTGAAAAGGTAAGCAATCCCATCCAAAGAGCCAAACCTGAGCGAATATAACAATATTATACCAGCTGTCCCTGTGAAAACTCCCCAATCCTTCTCAAGTCTACTTTTCTCTTTTTGAATACTTGGAAATTCACTGTCCATTTCCGATAAAAACATAATTACAAATCAACGCATTGAAACTAGCAATTCATCCGCCATTACGATTCGAGAAAAACAGAGAAAAGAACCAGAACACAAGAACAAGAATGAGATTGCGACAGAGATTAAGGACTACCAAGCGTATACCTGCGAAAAAGAAAGTGAGAGCAGCGAAGATGGATCCGTGTCGAACCGCTGCGATCCTTTGCCATTCGGTGCCGTAGCTGTCGCCGGTAGTAACCGAGGTAGCTGGAGCTGTAGTGAAATTTTACATAGAAACGCAACTCTCAGAGAGAGAGCAATACGAATCTTTCATCGGAGAAATCGATAACGACCTTTTCCAGAATGAGAATGCGAAGATGAGAGAGATGAAGGAAGGCCACGAGGAGCGAAAGAGGAAGAAAGCGATTCCAGATATTGATCTGAACGATGTGAAGAGAGGGCGAAAGCGCGCGCGCGCGCAAGAGAGAGAGAGATTGTTGAGCCGTTTTGATCGCGCAAAGTTTAAAAAACTTAATTATCTTTTAATCTTGTAAATTCTAATTTACTCCAATTCTATCTCTAACAAATTTAATTTTCTAATTTAAATTTAATCTCAAATGATTATAAGAATATTTTTTTAATATTGTTTTTTTTTTAAATACTCATATTTATTTTAAACATTTTTAAAATTGTGATTTAAAGATGAATGAAAAATAACGTATTTAAATATCATTACAAATAATATTAAGTTAATAAATATGACAACGTAATGAGTGTCACAATCGCACTCTTGGTAACGAACTTGCAATTGTGCGGCGCTCACTTTCCAACAACGAGTGAGCTAAGCTAATTCGTTCTTACGTTGCCTATGGGCAAGCGACGTATGCTCGAGCCTCTGGTTTCGGTTTAAGAATAAGGTTTTATAAAACGAGGGCAGAGAGAGATTTTGAAAGAGACGTTATATATGCAAGCAAAAGAGTAAAAACGACTCACAATATATAACTATTGGTAGGGAGAGGTTAACAACTAATCATATCCCCTACTACTACATTTTTAGGCATTTTATGTCTGGCAGCCTTAGACATGATTTTTCCGAAACCTCATACTTCCTCAAAATACAAAAATAAAACACTAGAACATGAAAAGACATAAAGGGTCTGGCTTGTTATAGACATGCGGCCATGGGCAACACGCCCTGGACAAGCATGACCGTGACAATGAGCTCATGTTATTTTTTGTTCGGTTCAAAGACTATTTTGAACTATTTTTTTTTTAAATTTATGTAATCAAATCACTCCCTCTAAGTTCTTAACATGCACAAGTAACAGCTTTTATCTAATCGTTTCATGTTCTATTTAACTCTCGGGGCTCTTTTCACCCCCTTCTCTTACCGTACTATTCACCATCAGTCACCTAGAAGTATTCAGCTTGATAAGATGGTCCTTGCTGCTTCATACGGGTCGTTAAAATTGTTCCTTTGATTTTTTTTATTTAAAAAAAAACATTATGATTATAAAATAAGCTTTTCAATGTTCTCTTACATCCCAAGCATACAATAAACCACAGGCATTTACTCATTGGTTGCCTTTTCCTTTTTTATATTTAATTATTAATTATTATTATTATTTTCCATTTCCAAATTTCACAATTTGGGCTTCTAAAGCCCTGTTTGGCAGACGTCTCGGCATAGCCATAATAAAACGTACGCAAAAAGACATCCCCACGTGACGCACGCGTGCCGCAGCTTCTTTCAGTATAAACAAAACCATCCAATCCATCACGCAGTCCTCCGACCACAGCCGATACCATACACGTGAAAATATCACAACCGTCAGATTATTATCTGACACGTGTACGCCTATTAGACCCGACGCAACATTGAGCTAAATTTGCTTGCGCTGCAGGGTATTATTTATCTGCTCCGGTTTCCGGGTCGGGCTCGGCAATGAGGAGCAAAACCGGTAGCTTTTTGGTGATGTGCAGTGGAGTATGGAGTGGACACGTTGGTTGGACGTAAAGTTTTGGAGACCAAAAACCCCTAAACATTTCGATTTCGATTTTGATTTTGATTTTGATTTTGATTTTGATTTTTATCTTTTTCTTTTTTTTCGCTCTCTCTCTTGGTGCGATATTTTGGCCGTTTCCATATATTTTTCTATCATCTTTTATAAATCGGGGATTGCTAGATTTTCTCTGAAAGAAAATGTGATTGGAGATCGTTAGGGTTTCGGATTCTTTGTTCTCAGTTGTCTATTTGTGTGACGGATCGATCTTTGTTTCAATGGTGGCGTTTTGTTTTCGCTCCTCGGAACCGGCGATTTGATATGCGAGTGGTGAAGGTTTTCTGGCGCTTTGAAGGTGCAGTTTCATCCTTTGGTTACTTTTTTGTTTTCTTTTGAAGTTTATGGAATTTGTTGGACCTTACGGCTAATTGATTCTGATATCGTTCGTTTGATATCTGTAATGTTTGGTAGGAGATACGAAATCATTGATCGGTTTGCATTTGATTTAGCATTTTTTTTTAAATATTTGTTGAGGTTCTGTAAATTTCTAGCAGTTTTCAGTCGTTCGAATTCGCGCGTAAGAGCTGCTGATTAATTTGGATTGATGAGGAAGAAACGGAAAGGAAGCGAGACTGATGGACCGTTGAATTTACGAGATAATGTAACAGAATCTCATGATTCGCGATCTTCTAAACTGAAGGCTCATTACTCGTTAGAAGATTACACGAGGTTGAATAAACGATGCAAGGAAGATGTGGGCATTGAACCAGTTCCTTCATGCAAGAGTAGGTTTGCCGGCATAGCTACAGCTCCACCCAGTGGGAGTTCTTCCCTGATTCTTCCTGGTAGAGGTTTGAAGAGGAAGATCGGGTGCATCGACGTGGCTACTCAAATTGGGCGTAAACATAACATCGAACATGATTATGTTTCAGGCGAGACGATCGGACATGGAAAATTTGGCTCAGTTTGGCTGTGTAAATGTAAGGTTAGTGGAGCTGAATATGCTTGCAAGACCTTAAAGAAAGCAGAGGAGACTGTTCATAGGGAAGTGGAGATAATGCAGCACTTATCTGGCTACCCAGGCGTTGTGACGTTGCTAGCAGTGTACGAGGAGTCTGAATGTTTTCACCTGGTTATGGAATTGTGCCGTGGAGGCCGTCTGGTCGATCAGATGGTCAGTGAAGGTCGATATTCGGAGCATCGAGCAGCTAATATACTCAAGGAAGTGATGCTGGTTATAAAGTATTGTCATGATATGGGGGTTGTACATAGAGACATAAAGCCTGAAAATATTCTTCTCACAACAGCTGGAAAGATAAAGCTTGCAGATTTTGGCCTGGCCACTAGGATTTCATATGGTATGCATTCTTTAATCTGTATTAACGAGTTCGTGTTTGTATGCTTCTCTTTAGGTATTAGTTGTATGATCTTCTTCGCGGTCTTCGTTTGACAATATGACTAATGACCCGATGAAGTTTTTTCTTGGTAAGATGTGGGAAAAAGGAGAGCCTTCTTGGGTTTAGTTGGAACCTATGTAGGCGTGGAGTTCGGTAAACTTTAACGTCTTCATTCGGTAAACATACCTCACTCTGCTGGTCCTTAGCCTTAACAGCAGCCACATTTGCGTTCGTAGCTACAATAGTTTTACCTTAGACAGAGCGAGAGGATGCTTATAACGAGATAGAGAATGCTTTGAGAGAGTTGGGGGGCGGGGCAGGGCGGGGTTAATGTGTCACAGGGCTAAGATTGAGGTCCTAACAACATGCTTGTAAAGAGATCAGTATGTTTATATAGATTGTTCATGTTAGTATGAGCGGTGTGCGAATGTTGATGTTCTATCTGCTTTTTCGATTTAAGTTTCGAACGTCTGCCTACTTATGTTAAGTCATTTGATTGCTTAATGCAGGTCAGAGTCTAATTGGTTTGGCTGGAAGCCCAGCTTATGTAGCCCCTGAAGTGTTGTCAGGAAAGTACTCTGAGAAGGTGGATATTTGGAGTGCTGGTGTGCTCCTCCATGCTCTTTTGGTTGGCGCTCTTCCTTTCCAAGGCGACTCGTTAGAATCAGTTTTCGAAGCAATAAAGAACTCTAAGCTCGACTTCCACTCGGGGATGTGGGAGTCCATATCTAAACCTGCCCGCGATCTCATTGGGAGAATGCTGACAAGAGATATTTCATCTAGGATAACAGCAGAAGAAGTCTTAAGTAAGTTTATTTTGCCACTTGATTTCATTCCCGGATGCACGTAATCAATAGCTAACACGAACTCAACTGTCTTAAAATATGTACTCTCGACCTCTCTTTATCTCCAAGAGGGGTCGGTCGGGGTTTCCCCACATATTGTTGAACTTTGCTTAGAATACAGATTGATGCCAATCCTTATTTCTTATTGTAATCTAGTCTGGATTGTGATGGTGATGGTGATGGTGATGGTGATGTTTCAGGGCATCCATGGATATTGTTTTACACCGAGCGCACGCTCAAGACTCTTCCGATCAAACTAAAACTGAAGAATCAAGAATCTTGCCAACCGTCTCCCATTTCAGCCAAAACTAAGTCTGACAGAAACAGGATTGACAGTGCAGCTAATTCGACCTCCCTTAACGAAGTCTCTGACCTTTCTTCATCTGAAAGTTGCAACGCCAATGGCGAAGATGACGACGATTGCTTTCTGGTGGATGCCCTTGCTACAGCTATTTCACACGTGAGAATATCCGAGCCAAAGAGAAGTAGGCTGTGTGTTCCTACAGGCCCTATCGAGCAGCACAGCTCCTCTAACATGAAAGCTAACAATCTTTGTAAAGCGTTTTGACATCCTGCTGACAGGCCAGCGACATCGTCGATATCGTTCTCCATCCTCCGTCCTCCTGTTCCTTTTTTTTCCTAAGCTGGGGGAACTACTAGTTACAGGTAACACAACCCGGATGAATTCCTCCAAGTAGATGATAAGAAGGTGATTTTCCAGGCTGACATCAAACCAATCAATCCATGATGAGATGATTGTGATTAATATGCAGTCTGTGTTAGTCACTGCCTGAGCTGCATTAAATCTGATTAGTAGTGTGTGGTTTTGTGCTTTTTAAGTCTAATAATTGTCTTAACATGAACTGACAAAATTTGCTGTACATATTCTGTAAATACAGCAGCAATGAAGAGTGCATTTTGATATCTCAGGTTGCCACTGCCACACCAAATCTAAACTAGTTCTTGAAAATTTAAGATTTATATTTATTTAATTCATATAAATTTTTATTAATTAAGAAGATCAAACAATTTCAATTTTTTTTATTTTTAAATAAAAAAGGCACGCCTACTTAAGAAATCCATTTTTTTAATCGAGACTCTTTCGATTTTAATATCTAAAAAAGAATCGATTTCATTTGATTCAAAGAACTACGCTTGGCCTCTCGATCATGAATCGGGACAGAGTATCCGTAGTACCCATATCAGTTAAAAGGTCTTTTCCTCTCCTAAAAGTCACAATAGAAATTAGAAATAACCTTAGGAATAAATGAATTAACGAATAATACTCTAATAGTCACGAGACACAATACAAATCTTTATAGCGTATAAAAGTACACTAAAAATGTTCCTATAAGAGAAAATCAAAAGCCTATTTTCACTGTCCCATATTCTAAGCTGAGGGGGAGACAGCGATAATATATTCAACATCATTCCTGTTTCTTTTCCCTTTTTTGCTGGCCAGCAAACTGGTATTTCATTCATAATGAGGAAGAAAATGAGGAAGAACATTCATTTTCTGGATATTTTCATCCACGTATACACTATAAAGAAACAGATCAATGCAAATATGACGACCTGGACGACGTGATTTGATCCGTTCTGTATGATTTTTTTGTTCAATCTTCTTACATTGTCCTTCACCCCTGCTTGAGCTTTGATCAATGTCATTTGCTGCAACAAGACCGAAAACAGATGATCGGATATGTTAGAACTAAAAGAATATTGGCGATTGCACACGTTTGGAACTGATACAAGTTGATATGAGAATGATTTTCTTTAGTTAGTTTCTTTTAATCTGATAGGGCTCTATGCATTTTATACTTTAGTTATCAAGGGAACCGTTGATTTGTTTTGTTCGTTTGTTCTCTATTTTGCTCCACTCTATCTTTTGGCAAGAGGTAGTGTAACGGCCCAAGCCCATCATTAGCAAATTGTATCAGATATGAGACTAGTGGTGGGTTTGGGACATTACAAATGGTATCAGAGCCAGATACCGGACGATGTGCCAATGAGGAGGTTGAGCCTTCAAGGGGGATGGACACGAAGTAGTGTGCCAACAAGGACGCTGAGCCTTGAAGGAGGGTGGATTGTGAGATCTCACACCGGATAACATTCTTTGTAAGGGTATGAAAACCTCTCCCTAGAATACACGTTTTAAAAACTTTGAGGAGAAGCCCGAAAGGCAAAGTCTAGAGAAGACATTATCTACTAGCGGTGGGTTTAGGCCATTATAGGTAGGATAAAAACTGAGGCAACCTGTATAATTTTACTCCATTCCCTACCATCATCCCAAGAGGAATCAATTAATTGGAATAATTAACACTCCGATCCTTGTACCAATATAATTTTAATAAATGCAATATTTAAAATTTAAATTCTCATTCTATCCATCATTTTCCATTTTCTCAAGTAATCAGGACCTAAAGAGTTTTCTCACAAGTAAGAACGTCAGTAAGTAAAAACCAAGAATTAAATCAACATACAAAAAACAAATGGAAATATGACAACTATGAATAGCATTAAGAAAAAAATTGCATACCAATTGATCTAGAAAATCATGCTGGAACTTTGCTTCTGTCCCAATGTCATGAGCAATCTGTAAAGATCAAAAGCCGAATATGGAATTAATTAAACGAACTGGCATATATACTCTGTACAGGATCTCAACAAGATTAAGATTATGATAACACTGTGAGACTTTTGGACCAGAAAACATTACACAATCTGTTCTTTTTTACTCAATAAGAAACAAGACGAGCTTTCGTCGATAATATGAGACAGAAGGGGCTGCTCAACATTGACCGCCATACAATTAGGCATGCACCAGCTCAAACCAAACCCACTAGAACGCTTAGCTAAACGTTTAGAAACAAATCTTTCTACAAATAATAATAATGTTGTTGTAAGAAGAAAATTGGACAGTCAAGCAAAGATGCCCCTCATTTTCGAGATTTTGATGGCATACAACTGGTGTGTTGGCAAACCAATTTCCTAGACCAACTGTTGTAGAAACCAAATCTCCACTCAAGGAACAAACCATCAGGCTGCTAATGTACAACTAAGGTGCTGAAGAAGAAGAAGAAGAAAAAGAACGGGAAAAAAGAAAATTGCATTCAGAGGCAAATTGTAGAGAAAAATGATACGAGCCAAAAACAGCGGAGAACGACGTCCAAGGAACAACTCCAACTTAGCAAAAAGAAGATGGACAATAAAAATCAAAAGTTGTTGGAGGTGGGGGGAAGGTGAGAACTGCATTACAGCCACTGCCAGAAAACAGAATGACCATGGATGAATTCGATAAGAGATTTTAGAAGTCTTTTAATGGTAGTTGATAGAGAATTGTGCACGGTTCAAACTGTGGTTTGCCTCGTGTTTTTGTGTCTTGAATTTGCAGGGGTTTTATTTTCCAAACTCATTTTTGAGAAGGAAAACAAGGTAAGCAATTAGTTCGTCTGAATTTTGTTGATGATCTAATAATGAATGCTATGCAGTTTGTGTTTCAGTAGGATTCTTCAGACAATTATAATTTGTATTGATATGCTTGTTACATTACTATTACGCATTTCTTTCATTGCCTATGATACGTTTTGAATGGTGATGAGCCAAAAGACAAGAACAGCATCTACAAAGACTCGTAAATATGGATTCAACTTGTACCAGTCGAATGTAACGTATCATATATTTCGTTCTTCTAAGAAGGGAGGGAAACTCACAAAATTTCACAGAAAGAAAACAATGTCTGTGACCGCCATGATAATGAAATCGAACACTAAGCACATAGCATGCAGCTATACCACGTGAGATGTATTGATACAGAACGTACAGCTCGTAAATTCCATTAAGAAAGGAACCACGAGCAATGCAAATTCCAAGAGTACCATTACAAGTAGATCAACCTCGAACATAGCTAAATTCAAATATTATAGGAGCACCGCAAGAAATCTGAAGATTTCTGTTCAGATTTCTGTCGAGTACTTTATTTCTAGTTATTCGATGAAGATACCAGCACCGAGTGCTTTCAATAAAGGCTTAGCTGCGTGTTCTAGTTTGCAATTCAATAAACCTAAGTGCAAAGCTGTACCATATATTAACGTAAAATCATAATACTCACATTTCTAAGCCTTTTAACTTGGCTGTGAAGACCTACGATCTCGTCGTCCAAGTCCCCTTGCATCGGATCGATCTGAAGTTGAATTTCATCGGAGGCAGCCGCCGTTCTTGTGCTAAGACCCTCCCTGAATACCTCAAAACGAAGGACGATTGCAATTAAGCGACATGAATTGAGTAATCACCATTCTTAACACCGGTAAACATAGAAACAATTTGAGAAATTCCTCAAGACAAGTGACAGAAAACTCGCATTTCTTGCAATACCTCTAATTTCTGTAAATATACTGGGAACTTAGCATGATAAGAACGATGACAATACCTGGAGCGATAAGGAGCAGCGTTGCCATTGTAGAAGGAACTACCGCCACGGAACGAACTGGATGCCATTAGATACAGAATGAAAAGCTAATCAGAACTGGAACAATCTGATCGGAAACAGACGAATTGCGAGGATCAGTTTCAGAGTCTTCGGTTCGGAAGGTGAGAGCACAGAGCAAATCGGGATTTTCCGGCTCCCGTTTATCAGAGGCGCGTTGGCGAGGCGTAAAGGGCGGGTGAATGCCGGTTCCGTTCTCCAATATGAAATAAACCGGGTTTCGAGAATTTGAGACCGGTATATCCTTAACTTTGTATAGACCGGTATATTCTTTTATTAAGACTAAAATAGAATTATAATTTATTTTAAGTTTCACCTTTCACACCACAAAAGGCGACATTTTATTAAAATTAATTAGAGGGAATATTAATCTTCCTTTTCGAGTTCTTTGTCACTTAGTATAAATTCAGCATGCAATCGAGGCGCGAAAGCCCAGGCGTCGGCCCCTGCGATCACGATTGGCGCCAGTCCAGTAGCAGCCTCTCCCCTATCTCCGAGCGATGCGAAGCAGGCTGAGCCTTCAAATCTTTCTATAGGAATGCGTCCAGTTCTTCGTAAAATCCAGTCAGCGATACGCTTGTTTTTCATCCACTCGTTCTCTCTCAAATCGAACTCAACGCCCATGATTTCTCGACCTTTTCGCTCTCTCCGGTTCCCTATATTCAAGCTTACAGACGTTAGTTCTCTTTCTCTCTCTAGATTGATATATTTTTGAGCTGTTGTCTGTTTTTTCCGCCTTTTTTGCTAATGATTTGTGTAGTAAATTCTGTTGTTAGTGTTTTTGGGCCTGATTCAAGTTCTGCAATGTTGTAAATTGTCATAAAAAATGAATTCTTATTTAGTTTAGATTAATATTCTTATTTATTTTGGTTATTAACTCTTTCATAACCTATTTTGATTAATATTCTCATTTATTCGGTTAACTTATGGGAACGAGTATCACTATGCTAATATAAAGGTTTATCTAACATTGTTTTAAGGTGTGGAGTCATGTGGAATCGTGTGAAGTCATTGTTATTTTGTATTTGCTTGGAGACAATTGAGAGGAACTTTGTTTGTTATTTTGTATTTGCTTGGAAACAATTGAGAGGAACTTTGTTTGTTATTTTGTATTTGCTTGGAGACAATTGAGAGGAACTTTGTAAGAGAGACTTTGTAGTGTGAGAGTGTGAGAGATACACTTGTAAGCACCTTGGTTATAGTGATTGGCTACTACCCGTGGATGTAGGAGAATTTATCCTTTTCGAACCACATAAATCTTTGTGTCACTTTGTTTAATTTCTGTTTATAGGTGTGTGAGTGCGATCGATCTTGCTTCTGCTTTCGCTACAACAATTGAGTATCAAAACATATTTGGTTCTGACATTTTGTGTTGAGATATGATTCAAAGTATTCAAAGTAGTTGAGATATGGTTTAAAGTAGTTGAAATATGGTTCAAAGTATTCAAAGTACCAAGATTTGAGGAGATTGTCAGTAGATTTGAATTTATCTAGGATTTCCATAATTTACGTATAAGCCTATAAATATTGGAATTTTATGAGAACATTTTTTGTTATAGCTTTTTAGACCCAACATGTGGTATCAGAGCATTTTGGTTGTTGTATGTTGTAGCTTTGGATACAACAAATAGTATCATAGCATTGTTTGTTGTAGCATCCAACTATAACAATTGGGTATCAAAGCATTTTTGGTCGTAGCATTCCGCTGCAACGATTGGATATCAGAGCTTAAATGCAATTTGTTGGTTTTTCTCGATGTCTCGTATTGAAGCTATGCAGAATCCGGAGGTCATTTCGTAAGCGGGAAGCCGCCGAGGTTGATGGATTCTCATGGGTCCTCTTGGGTTCAGCTTCGACCAATTGATGGTCAGTGTTGCTATTGTTGCTTTATTTCTCGATGTTCTTTTGCTGGTTTTAAATTTTTTGGTTCTCACTGGTTTTTATTCAATACTGAACATTACTGAAAAGTTGAATGGTTTAAATTTGTATCTTGTTGTCAACTATTTATGTTGAAGCATTCCTTATAAGCTTAGGATTGGATTTCCACTTGTTTTCTTCAATCATATGGAGTTGCCCCAAAGAAGTGGCATGTTGGTTAGGGTCGAGGCTGGTGGGGTTATAGCTCAACCGTTAGTGCCGAGTTGAGGTGCATGAGATGAGATCTTATGGTGTGAGGGATATTGTGTGCTTGAGTGAGGCTGGTATGATAGGAGAGGGGAAGATGGGATTCCGAGTGAAAAGTTTCGTTCCCACAAAGGGTGAGATAGGCGTCCGAATATTAGAGGTCAACGGAGCGTAACTTAATTGGTTAAGACATTATGTCAGTGAGCCTCTAAATTCCATATCAATCTAAGATTATTATTTCTAGTCCTAATTAAAAGTCTCCTGTTTCGACACCAAAAAGAAATGAAGAAATATTATTTTTAGAAGGGATTGACCTTTCTGATTTTTAGAAGAAATAACTCCTCTCTTATTGTTGCATCGTTGTTTGCAGGTATATAAAATTATGAAAGTCGTAAAGCACATAATCTAGCTGAAAATTCACGGGATTCACTTCTTTTCTTCTGGGATGGTTTCAATAGGCATGTGAAACAACTTTCTGAAAGCCCACCATTAGCAGATATTGTCTTCTTTGGGCTTTCCTTTTCGAGCTTCCCCTCAAAGTTTTAAAACGCGTCTGCTAGGGAGAGATTTCCACACCTTTATAAGGAATGGTTCGTTCCCCTCTCTAACAAATATGGAGACCCAGGTTTTGAATGGTGTACCAATGGGGATGGACTCCCAAGAAGTGGATTGTGAGATCCAATGTTTCGATTTTTAAAACTGTAAATAGTCATTTTAATAATTCAATAAGGAAGATGTTACAATAAAATTTGAAACCTCATTTTTGTGTTTTGCAGAAGTTTGATTCCATAACCAAAATACTGGGGAGGATAGAGGCTTAAACCAGAGCTTTTTGAGTTTAGGCAGGGGCAGCCATCCGGGTTGCACGACAGGTTATTTTCACCTCTCTATGGGCAAGTGATTTACTAATTCTCTAGTTGTGGTGCATGTCATTGGCCAATGGATGTGTTATAGCCTTGCAAGCTTTGTGTTAAAATTCTTGGTCTAAGTGAGTGGATTAAGTTGGTTCTTTGATTGGCTATTGATTAGATCTATAGGGTACGGAAACCTCTACCTGGCAGACATGTTTTAAGACCGTGAGGTTGACAGTAATACGTAACGATCCAAAACAGACAATATCTACTAGTGGTGGGTTTGAGCCATTACAAATGGTATTAGAACTAGACATTGGGCAGTGTGCCAGTGAGAACGTTGGACCTCCAAGGGAGGTGAATTGTGAGATCCCACATCGGTTGGAGAGGGGAACAAAACATTTCTTGTAAGGGTGTGGAAACCTCTCCTTAGTAGACGCGTTTTAAGAACCGTGGAGCTAACAACGATACATAATGGACTAATCTTTTTATAGTGTTTTAACTGTGATATCTTTTCTGTTCTAAAGTTTTAAAATACGTAGTTTTTTAGTAACGACTCTGACCAGTACGTGTTCGTACAGGTTGCAATATTCCTGTTGCGAGACGGACGGAAAAAAAAAGTATGGAAAGTAAGAACGATTAGCTCCCTGATTGACTCCTCCATCATTCACGTACCTTCTTTTCTCTTTAGCCCCTTTTGTGTTTGACGTCAAAGTTGCTGTCGAATATTTGACTGTTGCATAATTTACTGAACTAGTTTTACAGCTTCCATAAAACTATATGACATGTTAATGGAATTTCTGCCTATTTTAAAACAATATAATAAATATGGACTTCTGAGCGGGAGAGGGGAACGAAACATTTCTTATAAAGATGTGGAAATCTCTCCTTAGTAGACACGTTTTAAGACCGTGAGGCTTATGACGATATGTAACATGTCAAAGCAGATAATATCTACTAGCGGTAGGCTTAAGCTGTTACACAAATGCATATGGACTAGGTAGAGGTGCATAACTCCACCCTAAACAACCTTTTATTTCTTGCATAGCGATGGCTACTCCTTGCATTACGCTCATGACTATTTTGTCCACCTCGAGGTCAGCTTCGGGAGACCTCGTAGATTTTTAATGATTCTTTCTACATAAGGGTTGGAGACAAGGTGTGAACTCTAGCCTTTGAAGGATTTGTATCTATTTAGTCTCCAAACTTTTATCAGACAACTTTAAAAGTTTTCAATGTCCGAACCATTTTTTAATCTCTTTTTCCTTCCGGGATGAATGTAATGAGTGCAATAAGAGTTGGATGTGGACACATTTGCTTAGCAAGATAATGCCATTGATGAATGTAAGGCTTTAGTCCATTTTGCTTTTTGAAAGTGTTTGGAATATTAGAGACTGGTCGTAGCTCATTGATAGGATTTCATTGAATAGGGAAAGCCTTGGGCATCAAAAAGGCGTATGGGTATCATCTCATATTGTCTTTTTGTACTGCCAACTTTGAATCGCCCTGGCTTCTAGAAATTTGATTATATTGTCTGCTTTGACTTGTTATGTATCGCCATTAGTCGTTGTTATATATTTTTATCAGCGTTATGACGCTCTAAGACATGTCTAGTAGACAGAGATTTTGACACTGTTATAAGAAATGTTTCGTTCACTCTCCCACCGATGTGAGATCTTACAACCCACTCTTTTTGTAGGCCAGTGCTCTCAACGGCACAACGCTCGGTGCTTGACTTTGATATCATTTGTAACATCTCAAGCCTACCATTAGCAGAATCTGTCCGCTTTGGTCCATTACATATCACTGAATCTGTCCGCTTTGGTCCATTACATATCACTGTCAACCTCACGGTTTGAAATGCCTCTAATAGGGAGAGGTTTTACACTCTTATAAAGAATGTTTCGTTCCCCTCTCCAACCGATTCATATTAAATACTGAATCTAGATTCAAATTCTAGACATAAAACGTTACCGTCCTAATCCAATTCCATATATTGCAAGAAAAAAAAAAAAAAAAAACTAATAGTAAATTATGCCCTCTCATTTTCTCTCTCTACACTTGACTTCATATTCACTCACAATGTTACTTTTTTAAGCTTCCTTTGACCTACTTGAACCTAAATTTGACCTTTTTTTATTATTATTATTAAAAAAAATATTTATGTTTGTTTGAAAGGTAAAATTGACTGAGCCACTTTCTTCCCCCTCTTCAAAATGGGCATAGCTTTTATTATTACCCATCACTCTCAAGAAATTATTATATAAAATAAGTAAATAAATAAATAAATTTTATAATGGATTTTGGGCCAATTTTATTTAATATTCCACAAGTGGGAATTGTTGGGTCAATTTGAAGGAAGTGGTTGGAGCTTTTGCAACAGAGATTCATTTATTCCAATTATGTGTAGTTGAATGATTTCAACGCCACTCATTCAACCTTCTAATATAAACCATTAATTAATGGAGCTTTACCTAATTCCCTCTCCTTTTTTATGCCCCTATTCAAAAAAAAAAAAAAAAAAAAAAAAA